ATGCCTAACCATTGTGCTAAGATATTATTTTGTTCATTTGGTCATTACATGCAAGATTAATCTTTAAATGGAAAAAGCATATTTGCCATTTTTGAAAAGATGCACTTTATGTCAAATTCAAAATCCAAGAGGCATGGGCAAGATCTTTGAGGCTAGAATTTGTACACAAATCCCTCTGATCAAGAAGGGGATATGCAGCATAGTTTAGGGCATTGCACATGCCTGTATTGAAACTTGCATTTTCTTACTTCAAAAACAAGAAAACTTGTAAACTGACTCCAAGCTCTCATTCCTGTAAACACCAACCAAAACAAAGTTTGCAAACACTTTCCATATATCAAACCAGACCTAAGGCACGACTAAACCACATCCCAAACCTTCTCATTCACAAAAACACCCTCTTGCTGCAGAAATAGAGCAAGTTCTGCAACTTGACTTCCACAAACATTTCCACTCGTGCATTTTGGCTAGAAAGAGTTCAAACATGTTCCATATCATCCATTGAAGCTATCCCAAGCATTGAATCCTATCCGTAACATCCATAACATCCTTTGCCATTTTTGCTTTCAAGCTGTGCAGGTGGACTTCCATAGCACGATACAGACACTTTCAGAGCAAGCCAAGCATAGGAGAAGCATCCTTGGACTTCAGGCAAGCTGTACCAAAGCTCAAACTCCATTGAAGATACCTCCATTGCTGTACACGACTCAAGCTGAAATAGGTAAGAACATGAACTTCTATCTCTCAATATAGGAAGAGTTAGGCTTAGGTTTGTGAATGAAACATGTTCTCCTCATAGCCCTGAAGCCATCCATATACTTACTTTTCATTTATATTGAGTGTGCTGTGAGAATTTTGGCCATAAACATGGGAGAAAATTTAGGTCAGAAATTGGGGATAAAGAAATTCTCCCTCGTTTCAGAGAGTTAGGTCAAGATTTTTATATGTATGAATTCGTCTCTTCATGCTCTATAATATTTGTGTTATGAGTTTTTGTTAAAAGTCAAAGATTCAGGAGTTTGTTGTTTGAGCAAGGAGGCGCGCGAAATTCAAACAGAATGGTTGGAGGTTGAAGAAGGTGGTGACTTGAGCTGGGCCTGAGTTGTTCTTGCTGCTTGCACCCTCATTTTCCATTTACACCCCCTGGCCCATTGTGTGATATTTTGATCATTTTTGACTTTTTCTTTTTGATTCTGACTTATTATTTTTTGCTTAAATATAAAAAATATAAAAAATATTTTTCCATCTATTTTTGCATTTATTTGGAATTTATTTGTTTTATTTAAACTTATACATGTAAAATAATACATATACTTTTATTTAAAAACACTAAAAAATAATACAAAAATATATTTATTTTCAGTTATTATTTTTATTTTACATTTTGAAAACATTTTCACAAAAAATACATTTTTTGTAAATAATTAATATTTTATTTTGATATATATATTTAGTATATTTAATATATAATATAAATGCTTGTATATTTTATTAGATATTTAGGACAAAAATATAGAAATAATACATTTTTATTTTTATTAATATATGACACTAAAAAATACTCTTTTTTACAATATACTTCTTTTTTTTATTTTTTGTATATAATTAACAAATATTGTATATAATTAATAAATAAATATTATTTATTTAGAAAACTAGGGTTTTGCCCTAAACCATAAAAACATTCAAAAATTGACTTTTTATTTTTGTTTATATTTCACATGAAAAAATACTTTCTCATACATAAAAATCCTTTTTGTGCATAATACATTTTTGCATATTTATCATATTTGTTTAAGTATTGTACAATTTAATATTTGTCTATTCAATATGGATGTAATAATTTTAGATTTAATTTCTTGCTAAATATCCCCCCATTCAAACATTTGTACCCCCATCCCCATAATCATGTTGTAATAATTTAGGACTTTAAATTTCTGCATTTAAAAGCTTTCAAATTATGCCATGATAGACTTAGGGTTTGCATGCAAATCAACTAACAAATAGCTTGACTAATACAAAGACAAAAAAGCATGAAAATGGACAACACCATACACACTTGCACCCTTATGGTTACTCCACTTGTTGCCTTCAAAAATGGGCCATGTTGCATGTTGAGTATCTTTGGCAAAACAAAAACAAATCAAATGATCATAGTCCCTCGACGACGCTTTCGAAGTTGCCTAAACAAAATGATCATAGTCCCTTAAAGGAAAATTGCCAAAGACACTTGGCACTATTGCATTCATGGTCTAAATGATGAGCCGCGCCCGTCCTGTTAACATCCTAACACAAGATTGTCCACCAAATACAATGGTGGAACAATGCTGTTAAAAGGGTTAAAACATAGGAAAAATCTTTGAGAAATTTAGGGTAGATAGCTCTTGGTTACTTGATCAAACTTGCAAAACACACTTGCCTACTTTCAAAACACACTTCACAACACAACTTTCAAAACAACTTTCAAAACCTTGAAACATATTTTCAAAAAGACAAACACCTTTTGTAAAACATTCGAGTAAAGAATTGTTACAAGGGTTGCCTAGACAAGGCATCTTTTTCAAAACATTTTCAAAACCACACACACAAAGCACCATTTCAAACAATTGAAAAGCAAAGGCAAGTGATCTAAGCAAGTAACTAAGAGCCCATGGATAACCATGGATAGAAAGGGTGCTAATACCTTCCCTTTCTATAATATACTCCCCGAACTCAAGAAAACATCTCAAAGGTTTTTGCTGTGCTTTTTAACCTTTCCTTAGGATAAAAGAAAAAGTCGGTGGCGACTCTTGCTCAACCGAAACATTTGAGAAAACAAACGCAAAACCTCAAGTCAGTTCTCCCACCGTATCACACCTTCAATCTATTATCCTTTTGAATTTCTTCCACCAAACCTTCCCATGCTTCACACTGAACCGTTGTAATGTGTGCATACTGCATCTGCGTGGATAATGAATCAACAACACTATTTTCTTTTCTTGGTTTATACTTAACTTCAAAATCAAACCCTAAAAGTTTGGATGACCATTTATGTTGTTCTCCCCCCATAATTCTTTGTTTAGTGATAAATTTCAAACTTTTCTGGTATGTGTGAATCTTGAAGTGTCTGCCCAGTAGATAAGGTCTCCATTTTTGAATTGTAATCACAATAGACATCAACTCTCTCCTAAACTGATTTCTGTTGAGCCCTGTCAAAAAGTGTTTGGCTCATGTAACAAATAGGTTTTCCTTCTTGCGTTAAGACAAATCCAATCCCCTGACTTGAAGCATCATTTTCTACAATAAACTCCTTCTCAAAATCAGGCATAACTAAAATAGTGACAATAGTCATAGCTAATTTTAACTTTTCAAAAGCTTCGTGAGCTTCACTACTACATTTAAACCCATCCTTCTTGAGTAGTTATGTTAGAGGCCAAGCAATTTTCCATTAATTCCTTACAAACTTCCTATAATAGCCAATAATACCTAAAAATCCCCCCAATCCTTTCAGATTTGTTGGTATAGGCCAATTGACCATATCTTCTACCTTCTTAGGATCAACAGATACTCCTTGTTCAGAAATGATATCCCCTAGATATTCTATCTTGTTTTGGCCAAAAGAGCACTTTTCTTGTTGGCATATAGCTGTTGATCCTGCAATACCTGTAGAATCATGGTTAGGTGGCTTTTATGTTCCTCCCTGCTTCTGTTGTAAATCAGGATGTCATCAAAGAATACCAGACAAACTTTTTGAGAAAAGGCCTCAAGATCTCATTCATCAGAGCTTGGAATGTAGATGGGGCATTTGAAAAGCCAAAGGGCATCATTAGATACTCATAGTGTCCCTCATGAGTCCTAAAAGTTGTCTTCTCTATATCTTATTCCTTCATTCTAATATGGTGGTATCTAGATTTTAAATCCAGCTTAGAAAAGACAACAACCCCCTCCTAGCTCATCTAGTAATTCCTCAATTACAGGTATGGGAAATTTATTAGGAATAGTCAACTTGTTTAATGCCCTGTAATCAACACAAAACCTTCACTCTCCATCTTTTTTCTTTACTAACATAACTGGACTTGAGAAAGGACTGGTAATATGCCTAATAATACTAGCTTGAAACATCTCCTTCATTATCTTCTCTATCTCTTTTTTTTGAAAAAATGGATACCTATAAGGCCTTAGATTTGGTATAGCAGCTTCATTCTTAAGCCTAATAGAATGGTCATGCTCCCTTATAGGAGGAAGCCCCTTAGGTAAATTGAATACTCCTTCAAATTTACCTATGATACCTTCTAACTCAGTACAATCATCTTCTGGAGCAGTCTTCAGGGGTTGCACATAAAATCCCACCCCTTTATCACTAAAAGCTTTTATCATGGCTTCCATGGATGCTTGAGGCAGGATCGCCTTGTATGCAATATTCCCCCCCCCCCCCCCCCCCCTTCTCCCATTTCAAATAAAATTCTACAAAGTTAGCTTCAATATCCCCTAAGTTAGCTAACTAATCCATCCCTAACACCATATCAGTCCCTCCTAGATCCATCAAAATAAATGTTGGTGAAATTCCACCTCTTGCATCTGAAATTCCAGCCCTTCACAAATCCCTTGATAATTGACTCTCTCTCTATTCCCCACTTTAATCACATAAGAAGGGGGTTTCTACCAGCTTCAATGCCATTTGTTCCACCAATTTAGCATCAATGAAATTATTGGTTGTTCCCAAATCAATTAGAGTCCTCATCTCCTTATCCTGCACAGTCACCCATACTTTAAATGATTTGTTAGAAGTGAGTCATTGTTTACTTTGCATTGACAATTGTAGAGTTTTGAATTTCCTTCTATCTCTATCAGTTCATCTATTTGCAGACATTTTCCCCCTGTTTCGTCTTCCTCATCACTGTTATTCTTATATAATTTCAAACTCATATGTTTGAATTTTCATATGTGCTCCCTATTCCACTTCCCACACTTAAAACACAAACCCTTCTTGTTCCTCTCTTCTAGCTTTGTAGGATTTAACCTCATATCCTTGTATTTTTCATATCCTCCACACTGACTTTTTCTCCTTCCTTCTTCGATCCCCCAAATTCTGCAAGGTCTCTAATCCTCAAAGGTCCTCCTCTATCTCTCCAAGAGCGACCCTTCTTATGAAGCACTTCATTATTCTCCTCAATTGACAATGCCCTGTCCATTAATTCAGCTAGGCTTTGACTTTCATGGAGTTTGAGCTCAGCTTGAATCTCTTCTTTTAATCCATTCAAAAAATGGAATCCAGCATAATCATCTCCTCCCTTCTTAAAGGAGCTACAAGCATTTCAAACTTCTAAATGTATTCAACAACATACCCTTTTTGTTTCAAATTTAACAAAGGACCCATCAGGTTATGCAATAAACTCGGTTGAAATCTTCTCATCACAACCACCTTAAACTATTCCCACGTCTTCAATGGTGCTTACTCCTCCCACTATTGATACCAGTTCAGAGCTTTGTCTTCCATGGCTAGTACAACTGCATCTAACTTGTCACGCACCCTTACCCCGTTTAGGTTAAAATATCTCTCAACCCGAACGTACCACCCATATGTGTCCTCTCCTTTGAAAATAGGAATTTCTAACCTTCGTCTACTTCCCATGAAGCGAGGTCCATTTCCACCATTATGATGGCAGTTTTGGGTCTGGATTCACGCGAAATCGTACTTCTTACACTTCTTTCATCTTTGTTATCGAATCTTCCATGATTCCAACTCACTCGGTCCTGGATCAATTGCCGTATCCGCTCTACTGTGACTTGAGGTCTCGCTTGTTACTCTAACACCAACGTTCAGATTTTCTTTATCGTCCCCTCAAACTGATTCATCCTCTGTTCGGTAGTTTCAACTTGATTTTCCATGATTCTTCGAGTCATAACCATCCACTGTGTAGACGAATCTAAGGCTCTAGATACCAAATTGATAGGTTTAATTTAGTATCTAAGTGCAGAAAATAGAAAGTACACAAAATATGAGGAGAAAGGAATGATTTTTATTGATAGTACCAGAGGTCAAACGGGATCTGGTAGTACAAACAAGTACAGAAACTTGCAGAAACTTACAGAAAAATAGAAAGCATAAATAGGCTCTTAGAGAGGCCTTATCTCTCACATGATGATATTCCCCATTCAATTTCTGAGTACCAGAAAGAGTGCCATACCCCAATCATTTATTCCCTCTTTCCTATATTATTTTTCCACTACATAACTGCTAGCTAGCCTAGCCCATGTGCAACACTAACTAATTCATTTTTTTTATTCCCTCTCTCTTTCTATCTCTCTCCCTTCCTTGTGTTTCCTCTCATAAAACTTTCCATACCTACCACTCATTGAATAAGAAGGTTTTTAAAGATTTAGGGTTAGATGGTAATAAAGGGAGAAAAATCATTGAATCATATTTTTGGCCAAATTGTTGGTTCTTTTTGAAAGAAAAAACACACTTTTAATATTACAAAAAAGTTGTGTAGTAATTAGGTAAACCTTTCAAAGTATAGCAAAAGTAAAAAAGAAAGCAGCGTTGGCGCTTTTCTCAAAAACTAGTAAGTTAGATTTTGAACAAAGGCTGTATTTCAAGAGTCCAACTATGTTTTGTTTGCATATTTGAATAATAGCATTTAGTTTCTCAGGTTGGTGCTTGAGAAAGGAGTGAACGTTGGTCTTTTCAAATCAACTATTAGTTTCTAAAAAATAGACTTGAATGGTTAAATGTTTTGTAACATAATAACATCTTTACTTATTCTTTTACAATGTCTTCCACTTAAATTCATAACTAAAATCCATGGTGTTTTATTTTTTTTGCTGCAGATTCTGACAATCCATTGAAAACTACAGATCAGACCACAAGTCTTGGCTTAATTGTAAGCTTCTATCATTTGCATATAATTTGTTCTACAACATAAATTACCCCACGAGCATGAAACTTGCATGAAGTAATGTCTGGTCTCTTGTCTTTTTAATCAATTGATAGAATAAATGGAAATAGGAACGTAGTTTGTCACAGATGTTTAGTTTCTCCACTTCAACAAGATAGCTTGTCACGAGTCATGCCAAATTATAATAGATGAAAAATGGGAAACCATTTATCAATTAGAACCAATAAAGAGCCTTAAGTAAGGACACCTATGGGATTAGGCATGTCCCCGTTCCCGACACATGTTGGTGTTCGATAGTCATATCATGCAACATATGTCTAATTGCTTAGACAAGTGTCTCAAATAACCAATTTTTCTTTGCTTTGACACATTTTTTAGACACTACTCAAATAATTCTACATGGTTAAAGATGTGTCAAAGTAATGATAATCAATGAAGCGATTAAAGACATTAAATTTGATGACATTATGTTTTAGCACTTCGGTATTGAGTCAAATAATTAGAGTTAGAAGAAGACCTAGAAAAACTACAAAAGAATAAACTATTAAAGAAGATCTCGAGATTAATTAATTGGATAGAAACATGGTCTTAGATAGAATATTATGGCGAAATTTGATCTATGTAGCCAACCTCACTTAGTGGGATAAGATTTGGTTGTTATTGTAATGTTTTAAATTTGAATATTTCTCAATAGAAAATTTTAATTTAATATTATTTTATTTATTGGCTACTAATTATGATTTTATTAAATTGATTATAATAAATATGATTTCAATTATATGATTAGAGAAGTTAGAAGAAGATTGTTGATGAGGCAGTTTGATAGAATGTTTGAGGATTTATAAGGAGATTGGGGGAAGCGTGAGGAGGCATTTTGAAGTATTATTATAGAGGTAGTTAGGAGAGATTTCTATCTGTTAGGAGCATTGTGCTCTGGTGGGAGTGTCACACTCTAATTTATCTTTTATCTTTTCTTCATCACTGTAAGTGAAGTTTACTCTATTCTCATACTCAATAATACAAACAGTTTTTCCGTTATGAATTGATGGATTCATCACATTGATACCCATTTTCAACTCCAATGGAGATCAACGCTAGGACATGCAACATCGTGATATCCAGCAGACAGTTTCTTGCCACATGATGATCAATAGTAGGAAAAAGAGCAGGAGTATATTGTTGTCATACTCACGTCCCTAAGCTTGTTTTCTTGTTCAAGTAGTAGCGCTCGTAAATGCTATTAGTTTTACTCCCAACTTCCACCAATAATCTCTACTAAATCATACAAACTACACTATATATGGTCGTAATTTAGCTTGGGAAAAATTGGAACTCGACTGCTTTTGTAATAATGCAGGTATGCAGAGGAACTGTTGTGATGCTTGTGTCCCCAACTGATGGTACATATGATATTGTGAACCCATTTCTCCATCCAGATGTGACCTATGTAAATATGTCGATAAAAACACCTTATATATATGCTAACCAAATTCTCATCAAATTAGTTAACAAGCATTGTTGTGATTTTTGTCTAGTAGTTCTTTTTCTATGTCTTCCACTTATGACAAGATCAGATAACATTTTTCCTTATCGATTGAATTGAACTTCCTATAAATGGGAGTTCAAATGCTTAGATGACAACGTGATGTCTTTTGTTTGTTTCTTTTTTCTTTCTATTTTCCTTTTCTTTTTAATACACTTTTTCTATTTACATGTACAGAAAATAATATTTGTGTCAGTTACTTCCTTAAATCAATGTTGAATGTTGATATGTTGCTTATTATTAAAAAACAATTAAGTGCTCATCAAAACTAAAATATAATAGTGGAATATTAAAGGAAAACACCTGATAACGAGATAAATATTGAAAATATGACATGTGAGTCTGTTTAAAAGACTCTTGGCAAACAACCATGCATCAGAGTAAAATCAATGTAATAAGTTATTAAAAATGATGTGGCGTGTCTATAACTTTGGGCATCATTGTAGTGCTTTATGACTCTTTCAGATGAATCACACCCTCAAATAAACATCATAACAAAAGAAATGAAAAACACAAAAGAAATAGAGTATTAAATGGTGTCATGAGTGTTTGTTGAAGATTCAAGACAGAGAATGAAGAGAAATATGGATGCGTGTTGCAAAATATGAGGTGAAGTGAAGAGGTGAGGTGAATGAGAAATAGTGAAGCTATTTGTAGGGTTTAAGTGTCGGACAAAATGACGATTGTATTTAAACCTATTTTCTTAGGGTTACGGGAAGTAGGGATATGCCATAAGTTAATGATATTTTCAAGGCGTTTGGAAATCATCACAACTGGTGTAAGTGGAATGGTTACAAACATTAGCCGGTTACAGTCAAAGGCCGCCGTGCCTCAAAAAATTAGAGTAAGCTTCCCCCAAAAAGATTGTCTATTGAGGTACACTATTGACATACTCCAAATTTGCCCTATTGATTTTTAACTAATTTATTACTTATTGTTATGTTATCATTTTTCTCTATAAAGTTTATATTACTTAGGATAAATTCATTAGGGGTTTAAAACCTTAAAAGGGAGATGGTTTTTTCATAAAGGGGTTTATGGGCTTTCTAAATCAGAAAGGTCCATGTGGAGTTGATGATCCACTTGGTGGGTTGTACAAGTAAAAAGAGGGGGTGTATTTAGTTTCTAAGCTCATTATGGGGTATATTTGTTTTTAGGCCCATTAAGGATTGTTTTGATTTATGTTAAAAGTTAAGCCCATTAAAGTTTGCTAATTAATGGAAATTGGGGTGTATTGTCTTAAATGGACCATCGAAATCTAATGGTTCATTAAGACAATTTTGCTGGCCCAGTACAAAATAGAAAGCGGGTGTGCGTTTTTCTTAAAGAAACATGTTGCCACAGTTTTTATTGGGGCGGCCCATTAAGAGTTTTTTGAGGTCTAATAGTTTGACAATTTTAGCCCATTTCAATATTTCAGCCTAGTCCATTTCTAATTTTTATTGTAGAGTATATTTATTTATTATGATTTGTTAATGGTATTATTATTATTATTATTTTTATTATTAATTATTAATATTTACTTTTAGTCCAAATTAGGGGTGGAAACCCTAATTCGTCAGCAACGCCACTTCCTTCTTCATTAAGACAACACAACCACATGCCCAATAAACGTGTACTGTGCAAATTAAAGAAAAACGCATATTCAAAAACTAAGACAAAATCAAATCTTGGAGTAAATCAAATCTGGAAATTAATATTTGTTTTATTCACTTAAAATGAATCTACACAATAACAAGGTTCGAGTACAAATTACAATACCCTAATTTCACATAAAATCTTTCTAAATTAATTTACAACAAATCAAATCCCTGAATGAATACAATTACAAGAGTAACAACAATTACAAATTAATTTCCTAATTTAAATCTAAAACCTAACTATAAATAAACCTAAAAAATTTTAAAGAGGGAAGGAGAAATTGAGACGAACAAGTTGACAGAGAAACAGAAAGAAGAAGAAGATAAGTTTAGGGCTTCAATATCTGAAACCCTAAAGTTCTTCGATGCGCTGCCACTACACTACAATCCACCATCATACCTGTCAAACAGAAAGAGAGGAGAATGGGATTAGAAGGAGAAGCAGAAAACCAGAAAGGAAAATCATACGACCAAAATCATAACAAAGAGAGGTAAGCCTAAAACACTTAGCTCTTAGGGTTTGATTGCACGTTGATTAATGTTAATGGTA